AAAGAGTGGTGTGCACCTTAATATGGTACCGTCATGCTTCAGTCCTTTGCTTCAAGCCCTCCAGTCAGTCAGAACTTCGGTGTGTGCACCCATTGTGTTCAAGGTTGACTCAGGTTTCAAATCTGTGATTGGCTATGTGGCCTCCATTACAACAGATGACTACTAGTGACTGTTCCACCACAGCTGGCCCTTGTTGGAGTTTTCATGAAGGATTTCAGTTTGAGCCTATTCTGTGGAAATAGCCAATGTTCTATTAAAGGTCTATTTTACCTAAAATATTAATATTTTATATATGCAGGAACTAAAAATTCTTTTGAAAAGAAACAAATTACTCAGACTGAATCTACAAGCATAACTAATTCAAATGTCAAAGAATTTGGAATTGAGGAGTCCAACAGGAAAAATGCAACATCTCTCATTCTTTTCGAAGAGGTAGGTTTGCAGAGGTACATATTCGTGATGTCTTATTATACAAACTTATTCTAAGGACTGGCAGGTGACCTCGTGGTTGAGGGGCTAGATTCCCACCATGGCCAATTGCAGTTCACATTCTGGGCCCACTGGCCTGAAAATCTCAATCAATCAATCAATCAATCAATCAATAGTAAGTAAGTGTTCAGGGGGGAAAAACGTATTTTAAAGATTACTGTATCATTTGTTATGAAGAATTGTAAAATAGCTAAGACAGTTAAGACATCTACTTGAAATTCAAGCAAATGGAACTGTCAGCTCTATGGGCCAGTAGGTGGCTTGGAAGTTACAACAGCTGCATGCCACCTGGCCTACTGCAGGGTTCAAGTTGTGGCCCTGGTGGCTTGGAAAACATACCAGGTGTATGTGCACGTATGCCCAGAATCCCAAGAAGAGAATGGAGGAGAAGGAATTGCAGTATGGCCATTCCCTCTTTGGGGGTGATTTTTCACTTTCCCTCTCTCTCTCTGTCTCTCTCCATCTAGTACATGCACCCTATGGCAAACTAAAAGTAAATTATTAATTAAAAAATAAGAAAACTAAAGTTTATCTTAAAAAAAAAGAAACTTAGTTCTAGAGGAATTTTTCAAGAAGATGATTAATGCAATTCATGGCTTGGTGGTTACACAAATTATTCTAATGATACCTAAGTAGTTATAGGTGACTGCATTTCTTTGATTTTAATGTTTTATATTTGATAATGTTTTACTTACTAAATAATGTAAGACCTTATAAGCTTTTAGCCTGGGCTAAATTTACAATGTTCATAAATTTACAAATTTTATCTCTAGTGCATATATATATACATATATGCATCTGATAACTAAGTGAGTGATGTCTGGTAAATGTAGTTACTCATTACATTAATATTCTGATAAATGGTTTGTAGGTTGATGTCATTTTTGATGAAGATGCTGGGTTTTTGAATGCAATCAAGACATTCATGGCAACAACTAAACGACCTGTAATCCTTACTACAAACGGTAGGTAATGATGATTTTAATATAGCTAATTACTTCTGGTTAAAATACTTTATAAAAGCTTCTACTTCTGGTTAAAATACTTTATAAAAGCTTCTACTTTAGTTAGAAATATTCCTTCAAGGGTTAACAGGTAGTGTGGTGGTTAAGGCCGCTGGATCCCATATAGCTGACTACATGGTTCAAATTCTGGACCCAGCGGCTTGAAAAACTTGTTGGGCTTATGTGTTTGTGTGTCCAAAATACTGAAAGGAGAAATGGAGGAGAAGGGGTTATGGTGTGACCATCCGCTGGGTGGTGCTTTCTCACCCTCCCCACTTCGCTCTCTGTTTCTCTCTGGAGAGTGCATTCACCTTCTAGCAAATTTTAAAAAATAAATAAATAAAAAGGTTCCTTTAAAAGTCATTTAGCAAGCCCATCTGCGGTGGTGCACAGATAATACCAGCACTTGCAAGGGCCAGAAGCCACATGAGAGGTTCGTGTTTGGTTCCTGGGCCAACCTGAACATGTGGAACAGGGTTGCCTATGCCTATATTTCTAGCTGTTTGGGAGGCTGGAGCAAATGGTTTATGGTATGAAAGACTCTGTCAAAAAATACCTATCTCGGGACCAGCAGTTAGTGTAATGGCTATGTTGCTGGACTCCCATCTAGTCGACTGTGGTTTGCGTCCTGGACCCAGTGGCTTAAAACTCACACCAGGCACGTGTGCGTGTGTGCCCAAGATCCCGAGAGGAGAATGGAGGAGAAGGGATTGTGGCATGGCCATTCCCCTTGGGGGGTGATTTCTCGCTTTCTGTCTGTGTCTCTCTGTCTGGCGAGCGCATGTGCCCTATAGCAAAAAAAAAAAAAAAACTATCTCTATTTCTCTCTTCTGCTCTCTCTCTTTTCTCTTAAGAGAAAAAAAAAATGTTAACAGATTAGGCAATTGATTTACAGCCTCGAGTAATTACAAATATATCACCTTGCAAATAGTAATGCCTTTTTTAAAAAGGAGTACTACTTGGATTCATTGTGTCAGGTGTTAAATATTGAGAAAGCTGAGAACAGTGTCAGATGTAGAGAGAGGATGTGGACAAGCTAGTAAAGATATTTTGGTAGGGGAGAATATCAGCTCCTTCTCCTGATTCTTTATCATACCTATAACTGGATCAACAAACATTTACTGCCAAAGATTTTTTTATTATACAAACTAACCTTTAGTTTCTTGGTATGAGGGGACTTTAAAAGTCTGTGGTGGAATCAGCAGGTGGCATGGTGGTTGAGGTGTTAGACTCCCACGTGGTGTAGACCCCAGTTCAAGTTCCATATTTGATGACTTGCTCTCTCACTTTCTCTCTCTCTCTCTGTCTCTGGTGAGTGCATGTACCCTATAGCAAATTCTAAAAAATAATAATAATAAAAACTAAAATTAAATAAATAATTATTTTTTAAAATGTTTGTGGGTATCAATAGATGACATAATGGTTTTGTTGCTGGACTCCCACATAGTTGACCATGGTTTGAGTCCCGGGTCTGGCGACTTAAAATTCATGCCAGGCACATGTGTGTGCATGCTCAAAATCCGGAAAGGAGGGACTAGTAGTTAGCGTATAATGACTATGTCACTGGACTCCCATGTAGTCGACCGTGGTTCGTGTCCCGGACCCAGTGGCTTAAACTCCCACCGGGCACGTGTGCGTGCGTGCCCAAGATCCCGAGAGGAGAATGGAGGAGAAGGGATTGTGGCATGGCCATTCCCCCTGGGGGGTGATTTCTCGCTTTCTATCTCTCTGTCTATATCTTTCTGGCAGGTGCATGCGCCCTATAGCAAAAACCTCTCAAAAAAAAAAAAAAAAACTAAAAGGGGAATGTAGGGGTACTAAGAGGAGAATGCAGGAGAAGGGATTGCTACGTGACTATCTCCCCCATCCCCCCGGGGGTGAGTTTTTGCTTTCTGTCTCTGTCTGTCTGGCATGTGCACATGCCCTATAGCAAAAATTTCTTTAAAAAAAAAAAAAGTTTGGAAAATTTTCTACAAAAAAATTTGAAATCTATAATTTTTACATAATATACATTTTTCCATGAACTTTTGGAAAACTACATAAAAAAAAAGACTTCCTCAAAAAATATGTATATATTTATGTATATATATTTATTTATGTATAAGTATAAAATTATGCCTAGCTAATTGGGAGGATTAAGTATAAAGTATGTATATATTAATATAATAAGTTATAGTATACTTTATTAATCATACTTTAGTAATAAAGCGTAATTAGTATAAAGTGAGAAAGCAATCTGCCACATCCAGGACTTGAATTGTGATTGGCTATATGTAGTCTAGCACCTTAACCACTATCCCATCTACTGGCTCAACCAGGTATGTTTTTCAGGCTGCCAGGGCTGGGTTTGAACAGCAGTTGGCCATGTGGGGTCAGGCTGCAGGACCAGCCCAGACCCCTCATATTAATCTTAGCCATCCCTTAGCTCCAGGTAACACTTCCATGTGTGCTATTGTGTATTTTAGCTAACATAAGCAATCATCAACGTAACAATTCATCTCCTCTTCAATAGTTAGCTTTGACTATTTAAATTAAAAACTCACACAATCTCTTTTCTGTTTTTAAAATATGACAAACATTACATTATAATACTGTTTTCTAAAATTTTCATTACAAATATTCAGAAGGCTAACTCTTCTGTAGGTTCATATTAGAAATTTATGTTTATGTTAGACTCCATTTACAAATTTAATGGCCAATTTGACTGTTAGTTACTGCACTCTAAAATACTGATAAAAAATATATCACAAGGTGGACCGACAAAGTGGCATGGTGGTTGAGGGTGCTGGACTTCCGTGTGGCCAACTATGGTTTGAGTCTTGGACCTGGTGGCTTGCTTTCTTTTTGTTTGTTTGTTTTGTATTGTTTTTTGAGAGGTTTTTGCTACAGGGTGCATGCGCTTGCCAGAAAGACAGAGAGAGACAGAGAGACAGAAAGCGAGAAATCACCCCCTGGGGGGATGGCCACACTGCAATCCCTTCTCTGTTCTCCTCTTGGGATCTTAGGCATGCACACACACGCGTCTGGTGTGAGTTTAAGCCACTGGGTCCAGGACTCAAACTGTGGATGACTACTTGGGAGTCCAGCAACATAGCCATTACTGTTGCCAACTGCTGGTCCCTGGTGGCTTGCTTTCTCACCTTCCCTCTTTCTCTCTCTCACTGTCCCTGTCTGATCAAATTAAAAATAGATAAACAAATAAATAAAGTTAAATAACTATTTGAAAAAAAATTTTTTAAATTATCACAAGATAGATGATAGTTAATTATAAGATAATAGTTACTTTAGGTCAAGACAGGTCATATTAGAAAAATATAACTGGAAAAAGTTATTTGGTGGTCTTAATGTCAAAAAATGTTTATTTTTCTGTAGATCCAACATTTAGCTTAATGTTTGATGGTTGCTTTGAAGAAATCAATTTCAATACTCCTTCCCTGGTAAGTTTTGAATTTTAATGATTATAAGTTGCATGTCAAAACTATTGAAGCTATCATAATTTAAAAATGTGGTTGCTAAAGGATGTATTAAAATTTTTGAGTTTTATAAAATTTTTCATTATTTTCTTTTTGCTTAAAAAGATATTTACATGTGACTTAGTAAAGGCTCTGAAAGGGTAGAGAGAACCAGCATCACCAATGAGAATGTGATCATTTTAACAAATACAGTTTCAGGGGCCAATAGGTAGTGTAGTGGTTAAGGTGCTGGGCTCCCATATGGCCAACCATGGTTTGAGTCCCAGACCCAGAGGCTTGAAACTCACACCAGACACATGTATATGCATGCCCCAAATCCTAAGGGAATGGAGGAGAAGGGATTGTAGCATGACCATTCCCCCTTGGGAGGTGAGTTCTCACTTCCTTTCTCTCTCTGTCTCTGGCGAGTACACACACCCTATAGCAAAAATATCTCTTAAAAACCCAGAAAAACAAACATAGCTTCAGGCCAGGCAGTGGTGTGCTGGTTACGGTGCCAGATTCCCCACATGGCTGACTGCGGTTTGAGTTCTGGACATGGTGGCTTGCTTTCTCATTTTATCTCTAGGAAATTAAAATTAATCATAATGATAAATAAAATTAAATAAATAATTCTTTAAAAATAAAATGCGGGAACCAGCAGTTAGCGTAATGGTTATGTTGCTGGACTCCCACGTAGTCGACCGCGGTTCGCGTCCCGGACCCGGTGGCTTAAAACTCACACTGGGCGCGTGTGTGTGCATGCCCAAGATCCCGAGAGGAGAATGGAGGAGAAGGGATTGCGGCATGACCATCCCCCCTGGGGGGTGATTTCTCGCTTTCTGTCTCTATGTCTCTCTCTGTCTGGCGAACGCATGCGCCCTATAGCGAAAACCTCTAAAAAATAATAAATAAATTAAATAAAATGCACAGCCTCATCCTAAAAGCTTTAACTGTATTGGAAAAGTTTAAAAAGTGGCATCACTAAATTTTCTTATTTTATTTGCTGTTAAAAACTGGTAAATGTTATTAAAATTTTAAAAATATTTTTTCAAAGATGTAAATTTTTTGTTAGACTTCAGTATTCATACAGTTCTTTTCTAGTAAGAGTAGTCTACTGAAATACAATTTAAATACAGTTAAAATGTACTGTTTTTTTTTTTTTTTAAGAGAGGTTTTTGCTATAGGATGCATGTACATGCCAGAAAAGCAGAGAGAGACAGAAAGTGAGAAATCCCCCAGGGGGGATGGCCATGCTGCAATCCCTTCTCCATTCTCCTCTCAGCATTTTGGGCATGTGTGCACATGTGCCTGGTATGATCTTCAAGCTGCCGGGACTGGTACTTGAACTGCAGTCTGCTATGTGGGAATGCAGCGCCTTAACCACCACACCACCTGCTGGCCCCATACTTAGATTTTTTTTTTTTTTTGAGAGGTTTTTTTCTATAGGGCACGTGCGCTCGCCAGACAGATAGACAGAGAGACAGAAAGTGAGAAATCCCCCAGGGGGGATGGCCATGCTGCAATCCCTTCTCCTTCATTCTCCTCTCGGGATCTTGGGCACGCACGCACACGTGCCCAGCGTGAGTTTTAAGCCACTAGGTCCGGGACGCGAACCACGGTCAACTATGTGGGAGTCCAGCGACATAGCCATTACGCTAACTGCTGGTACCCCCATACTTAGAATTTTGATGACTATAAAATAACTCTAGCAAAGCTATGTCATTACTTAATCCTAAAGGGTTTTCTCAAGATTTGTAAAATGGCTTCTAGTGCTCAGGTTGGAGGTTCTCCTGTAAAAGTGTCTTTGCTGTCTTGAATGTATACAAGTGATAAAAGAAGCATATGTAAATATTTTAAATTTTGTATATCTCTCTTTTTTTAGAGAAAGAGAGATTTTTAATAGGGCATGTGCACTCGCCGGGGAGAGACAGAGAGAGAAACAGAAAGCAAGAAATCACCCACCAGGGGGATGGCCACACTACAGTCCCTTCTCCATTTTCCTCTCGGGATTTTAGGCACGCATGCACACACACCTGGTGTGAGTTTTAAGCTGCTGGGTCTGGGAATACATACATATATATACACACATATGTGTGTGTATGTATATATACATACATATATATGTGTATATATATATATAAAATGTAACTATTTGCTGGTCCCATTATATAAAATAATGGGACCAGCAAATGGTTACATTGCCGGACTCTCACATAGTCGACCATGACATTGCTGGACTCCTATAGTCAGCCACAGTTCTTGTCCTGAACACAGCAGCTGAAAACTCATACTGGGCATGTGTGTGTGTGCCCAAAATCCTGAGAGGAGAATGGAAGAGAAGGAATTGCAGCGTGGCCATCCCCCTGGGGGGTGATTTCTCAATTTCTCTCTTTCCGTCTCTCTGGTGAGCACACACACGCTATAGCAAAAATCTCTCTTAAAAATTATTTATTTAACTTTATTTATCATGATTATTATTTTTTAATTTGTCACAGGTGCTCACCAGAGAGAGAGAGAGAGAATGAGAAAGCAAGCCACAAAGTTTGGGACTTGAACTGCAGCCAGCCATGTGAGAGTCCAGTGCTTAACCGCCACATCACTTGCTGGCCTTTCCCTTCCATTTTTTAGAGCAGTTTTCTCAAGAAGAGCTTTTACAATAGTGTGAGTTTGGGCCCAACCACAATGGTACAAGTGAAAGAGTGCTGTCAGGCGATGGCTGAGGCCACATGGGAGGCCTGGGTTCAGTTCCCAGCCCTACCTAAACAGGATTCATGTAGTGTGGTCCTAGCTAATTGGGAGGCTAGGATGAAAGGATCCATGGTGAGACCCTGTCAAAAATACCTCTCTCTCTGTGTCTCTGTCCCTTTTGCACTCTCGTACACACCCTCATTATTATCTCTCTTTCATAAAAGAAAATACTGTGATGTTTAGCAAAATTTGTCTCACTTTTAGATTTTGTTCATTTGTATTGCTGTATTTACGTTAACTCTGCAACTAACCATGTTCCTCTCTGTTTTTAAGCTTAATGTTGCAAGCTACCTACAAATGATCTGCTTGACTGAGAATTTTAGAACTGATGTAAAAGACCTTGTAACTTTATTAACTGCAAATACTTGTGATATCAGAAAAAGTATCCTTTACTTACAATTCTGGATTAGAAGTGGAGGTGGATTTTTAGAAGACAGGCCATTATCCCTTTGTCGTAAGTTGTTTCTATTATTGGGATCGTATATTTAAATATATGATGTACTAAAATATGTGAAATAAAGTTCTGAGCATCCAGTTATCACATAAATCTTCCCCTTTTTTGGAGAGATTTTTCCATGTGCGGTCGCCAGAAAGAGAGAGACAGACAAAAAGCGAGAAATCACCCCCAGGGGGCATGGCCATGCCGCAATCCCTTCTCTTGGGATCTTGGGCACGCATGCACACATGCCTGGCATGAATTTTAAGCCACCGGGTCCGGGACGCGAACCGCAGTCGACTACATGCAAGTCCAGCGACATAGCCATTACGCTAACTGCTGGTCCCTGCATTAATCTTCATAATAAACATACCATCAACTTGGTTCGTGGAAAATTTTATAAGCATTAAATGTGGGATAATAGAATTACACTGAACCAGGAAACAGATTTCTTGCCTGGCTATACTACTTTTTATTATATATCTTCAAAAATTCAACTTACTTCTTTTTAAAAAATTATTTATTTATTTAATTTTTGTTTGAATAATTATTTTATTTAACTTTATTTATTTTTAATTTGACCAAAGAGGGACAGAGTGGGGGGTGGAGTGAGAAAGCAAGCCACCAGATCCGGGACTCAAACCATGGTTAGCCATGTGGGAATCCAGTGCTCTTAACCACCATGCCACCTGCTGGCCCTATTTATTTCATTTTATTTGTTATTATTATTACTTTTTCAATTTGACCAAAGAGAAAGAAGAGAACATGACAAAGCAAGCTGACAGATTCAGGACTTGAACTGTGTGAGTCATGTGGGACTCTAGTGTCATAACCACCACGCCTCTGCCAGCCTCTACTTACCTCTTTGAACTTGTCCCATTACCTTGAAAACAAGAAGTTTGAAGTAGGTAATCTGTGAATCACTGGTTTTTTTTTTTTTTTTCCAAGAAAGATTTTTGCTATAGAGCATGTATATTCACCAGAGAGATAGAGAGCAAGAAATCACCCCCCACAGGGAATGGCTATGCCACAATCCCTTCTCCTCTTGGGATCTTAGGCATGCACACACATGTGCACGGCTTGTTTCAAGCCACCAGGTCCAGAACTTGAACTGCAGTAGATTACATGGGAGTCTAGCAATGTAATCATTAGGCCAAATGCTGGTCCTGTGAATTACTTTTTTTTTTTTTCAAAAATTATTTATTTTAATTTTATTTATTTGTTCATTTATTTTAATTTGACCAGAGAGAAACACAGAGAAAGTGAGAAAGCAAGCCACTAGGTCCAGGACTTGAACTGTGGTCAGCCATGTGGGAGTGTCCAGCACCTTAACCAACACGCCACCTGCTAGTCCCCTTGTGAATTACTTTTTATTTTGCAATATTATTTTAAGATTATAAAAGTAGTATGATCTTTTTTTTTTTTTGGAGAGATTTTTGCTATAGGGTGCGTGCGCTCGCCAGACAGACAGAGAGAGACATTAGAGACAGACAGCGAGAAATCACCCACCAGGGGGGATGGTCACGCCGCAATCCCTTCTCCTCCATTCTCCTCTCGGGATCTTGGGCACGCACACACATGCGCCCGGCGTGAGTTTTAAGCCACCGGGTCCGGGACGCGAACCACAGTTGACTACGTGGGAGTCTAGTGACATAGTCATTACGCTAACTGCTGGTTCCCAAAGTAGTATGATCTTGCTTAAAACAAAACAAAACAAAACAAAATTCCCACCTCCTTTTCTTTCCTTTCCTAAAAGTTTGACTGTTAAATTTTCTAAACTTTTACTTATACATTCATTAACATAGTTTCTTATAAAACAAATAGAAGTATAATAACTATTTAACATTTTTTAGTTACGAATACATTTTTTTCTCCATCAGTTTATATGGATGTATCTCATTCTTTTTATGCAATTGTACTATAACTAGGCTTCTTTTTTTACCTATTGAGTACTGTTTTTTTTTTTTTTTTTTTTTTTTTTTGGGGGTGTTTTTTTTTTTTTTTTTTTTTTTTTTTTTTTTTTTTTTGCTATAGGGCGTGTGCTTCACCAGAAAGACAGAGAGAGAGACAGAGAGAAATCATTCCCTGGGGGATGAACATACTGACACACACACACACACACACACACACACACACACACCTGGTGTGAGTTTCAAGCCACTGGGTCCAAGACTCGAACTTCCATTGGCCATGTAAGAGTCCAGTATCTTAACCACTACACCATCTGGTGGCCCCAAATAGTCTATAATTTTATTTATACTAAGAGCTGTATTATTTCAAAAACATTTTAATTTCCTTTTATTTGTTGTTGTTTTAGACTTTGTACTAGGGCATGTGTGTTCACCAGAAAGTGGGAAAGTTAAGATGTCAACCCCCCCAGGGCGGATGGCCATGCCACAGTCTCTTCTCCTCCACTCTCCTGTGGAAGACATGCATGCACACATACCTAGTGTGCTTTTCAAGCATCTGGGTCTGGAAATCAAACTGGTCGGCATGTGGGAATCCAGAGTCTCAACCACCATGCCACCTGCTGCCCAACTTTATTCTTTTTCAAATTAGACGCATATGTATTTTTAAAGAATTATTTGACTATTCATTTACTTATTATTATTCTTTTAGTTTAAGCACAGAGAGACAGAGAGAGAGAGAGAAAGTGAGAAAGCAAGCTACCAGATCTGGGACTTGAACCATGGTCGGCCATGTGTGATTCCAAGCACCTGAACGACACAGCACCTGCTGGCCCCTAGACACATAGATTTAATTTAATGTAAGCTCTGAGCTTAAACTTTTTCAAAAGCAAATAGGATAAGATATGGAAAATATCCTAGTGTAAAAAAAATTAGTTTAATAACTATTGTCATATGATATAAATGGTTAAACCCAAAACATTGGAGGACAGATACTAAGAGTGGCGTAGTTTCTTCTTCTTCTTCCTTTTTTTTTTTTTTTTGTAATTTATTTAAAAAAAAAAAATTAGAAGGCATGTATGTGAGCCAGAGAGAGAGTAAAGGAGAGTGAGATAGCATCCCTCATGGGCTGGTCCTACCACAGTCCTTTTTCCATCATTTCTGCCTCCTTTTGAGATTTTGGGCACACAACTTCACACAACTTCCTGATGCATCTTTCAAACCACCAAATCTGGGATTTGAACTATGCAGTCAGCTGTATGGGATCCAGCTGCCTTAACCACCATGCCACTGGCTTGGCCTAGTTTCTCAGATACACACTCATTAGAAAGTCAAATATTACAGAAGTATATAAAGTAAAACGTAGGGACCAGCAGATGGCGTAATGGTTATGTCACTGGACTCCCATGTAGTCGACCACAGTTCAAATCCTGGACCCAGTGCATTAAAACTCAGTTTGGGCATGTGTACATGCGTGCTCAAAATCCCAAGAGAGGAATGGAAGAAAAAGGATGGCGAGGCCATCCCCTATGGAGGGTGATTTTTGTTTTCTGTCTGTCTCTCTCCGTCTCTCTGGTGAGCATGTATACCTTATAGCAAAAAATCTCTCACAAAAAAAAAGTAAAATGTGGAAGATATTTCTCCACTTCTTAAAGGTAGCCACTGTTACACCTTTATCTATGCACATAAAATATTGCTAAGTGCTTATTTAGCAATATTACCCAGTGTTACAGTGTTAAATGGTTACTTTTAACCTGAACATTTATTGTCAGCATGTACGGTTCTGTCTTACCCTTTTTCACAGCTATATGATATTCCATAGCATGAAATGGATGTGTTGTAATTTAATCAACCATCACATATTCATTTACTTATTTAAATTGTCTTCAGTTTTTCATTATAGTGAAGTGCAGTGAATGTGTTTATACACATATCCTTGAACATGTCTATGAGTAATCCTGAATTCTAGAAGTGTGATTGCTGGACCAAAGGCTATCTACAATTCAATTTTTTTTTTCAAATGTCGGAGAGAAAGAAAATCTCTCTTACTGGGACCTAGTCACATTTCAATCCTTTTTCCTTTAATTCTCTGTTCTGCTAGGATCATGGAGATAGGCACGTGCACCTGGAGTGTTTTTCATGTCTCTGGGTTGGGACTCAAACCCTGGTTGGTCATGTGAGATCTGGCTTCCTCCGCAGTGTTTAATGGCTACAGCTCTATTACCAGGCTGGCCCATACTTCACTTTTTTTTTCAATTATAGAGAAGGGGAGACCTTACTTGGAGGTGGTCATACTGCAATTCCTTCTACATTTCTCCATCCTATCAAGATTCTGGGCACCCAGGCACAAGTGCTCAGCATGTTTTTCAAGCAGCAGGAGATGGTACTCAAACTGGGCTCAGTCATGTGGGATTTGGTTTCCTCAATCACCAGGCGATGGGACAGGCCCTTACTCGACATCTTGATAGGCACTGCGAATTTGCCCTGTGAAGAAAACTGTCCCAATTTATGCCGCTGCAATTAAGTAGTATATGATGGCTCTCTTATGTGTTCCATCAACAGAACTACATCATCAGTCTTTTAAATTTTGCTGGTTTAAAAGATGAAACAGGGACCAGCAGTTGGCATGGTAGTCGGGCGCTGGACACTCCCACATGGCCGACCACAGTTCAAGTCCCAGACCTGGTGGCTTGCCTTCTCGTTTTCCTTCTCTCTCTGTCTCTCTCTGGTCAAACTAAAATAAATGAATGAACAAATAAAATTAAATAAATAATTCTTAATAAATAAAAGATGAAACATGAATAGTACAAGGGAGTCTTTAAAAAGTTCATGAGAGAGCCAACAGGTGGCATGGTGATTACGGTGGCTGGATTCCACATGACTGACAGCATGATTCAAGTCCCAGACTTGGTGGCTTGAAAAACGTACTGGGCCCAAAATCCCAAGAAAAGGTCAGAGAAGGAATTGCTACATCACCTCTGGGGATGCTTTCTCACTTTCCCTGTCTGTCTGTCTCCCTGTCTTTCTCTCCCCTTCTCTCTCTCTCTCTTTGTCTTGGACAACGCACTCTACAGCAAAAATGGAAAAAAATCAATATTAAAATTTCATGGAAAGTGAAAAGTTAAAATGAAAAAAACTATGCATAGATTTCAAACATTTTTGCACCAAAAGTTTAATAGGTGTTTCTTTTTCTTCTGTGACATGCCAGTTCACAATCCTTGTACTTTTTTTCTATTGGATTTAGTTTCTTTATTTATGATAGCATGTATGGACTCACACGAGAGAGGGGAGCACCCTCCACAGGGTGTCGTCACACTGTGATCCCCTTCTTCCAGCCTACTGGATCTTAGGTACTTGTCTGTGTTCCCTGCATTTTAAGTTTCAAGTTGGCTGGGCTGGGCATTCTAACTTTGGTCACCATATGCAGTTGAGCTTCTCTTCAGCATCCTGTTAACACTGCACCATGGAGCCAGCCCAGCTATTGTATTGTTTTGAAAATCCTTCATCATCACCTCATATAGTTCATGTACTGTTAGAAGTAATGTTTATGGGGCCAGATGGTGGTATAGTGGTTAAGGCCATGGACTCTCCCACATGGCCAGCTGTGGTTTGAGTCCTGGACCTGGGCTTGAAAATCATGCCCCGGGGGGCATGTGCATGCGTCCCCAGAATTCCAAGAAGAGATTCATTTTTGTGTACACAAGAATGTGCTCTCCAGTGAGCACACATTCCTTATGACAAAAATCTTAAAAACAAAAGTAATGCTTATGTGATACTCTTAATGAATTAAATCCTTATGTGCATAAGAACAAAATAAGGGTATAGGTCCAGAAAATGCCAAAAGATCTTGTGCTTTAAATTATTGTTTGATACCATTTGTTTATGATGTGTTTAGCTAAAATTTTCTTTTGATCTTGTAGGAGGAAATAGCAGAAATGTACAACTAGTTTGTTCGGGAGATGTCCCAGATTCCAAAAATAACTCTAAAAATGCTAACAAGAATCGTATAAATCTTCCCAAATGTGACATTGGCTGTGCTGAAACCTCGTTTGGCCTTAAGAACGTTTTTTCCCCATCTGAAGACTTGTATTCATTTTTAAAGGTATTTTCAATGTGTAGTGTAGACTGTTGAATTTATGTTCCTTTCCAAAACTCAGTCCTTACCAGTCTTTTGAATCTTAAGTTTAACTTGCCTATAAATTTTATAGTCTTTAGATTTCTGATTGTAACATATTCTACCTCTTCAGCAAAAATTGGCATTGTTCTAAATGCATATTATAAGATTTAGAGTAAAACTTAGAGATTTTTCAGATAAAAATGACAATTTTAGTCTCTAAAGATATAATTTTTAAAAATGAGGTTCTAATTGTTGGAGTATGTACTAAATACTAGAGGACTCAAATCTCCAAATTAGTGAACTAAATTTAATTTTTAACTCATGGTATTATTTTTATGTATTAAATATAGGTTAATAAAATTGCAAGAGGAAATGACTTGGTATTTTAAAAATAGAATAACGAAAACACTGTATTCATATGGATAGAAAATGTTCAAAATATGTACTATGATAACACTTTACTCAAAATGATTTTTCAGCACAAAATCACAACCAAGGAAGAATGGCATAAACTCATCCAGCTTCTTACAGAATTCCAAATGCAGAATGTGGATTTTTTATACAGTAACCTTGAGTTCATTCTACCAATACCAGTTGATATTCTTCCAGAAACAAAAAACCTTTGTGGCTCATTAGTAACTGTGGATGCCAGTGCAGCAACAAAAAGTATGAAATGTCTTACCAGGAAACCTTCTGGAGAGCAGCCATTGAGAAAGTCACAAAAAAAGAAACATAAGAAAAAGATGGTGACACTAGATGATAGTGACTTATTTGACACTGAATTGCATTTCCCTCCTGAGGTTATTAGCCTGTCTCCTGAACTGTCTTCATCAAATTCAGAAGAACGTACAGACAAAGACAATGAACACAATCCAGAGACAAAAAACCTAAACCAATGTTTGGACCCTAACAGTGAGTCTGTATCTCCTCTTCCTAAAACACCAGCGGAAAAAAAGTGTTCTGCCCTTGTTTCTCATTGTTTAAATTCTCTCACAGAGTTCATGGATAACATGTCCTTCTTAGATGCCCTTGTAACCGATATAAGAGAACAAAAGGAATTTGGTAAAAATGACTTCAGTTGGACAAATGGAAAGGTTAAAAGTGGACTTTGTGATGAGTTTAGCCTTGAGAATAGTGATGGATGGACTTCTCAAAGCTCTGCAGAATTAAAGGCAGCCACAGAAGCTCTCAGTTTTACTAAATGTTCTTCTACTATTTCAAAAGCATTGGAATCCTCCTTGAATGCTTGCAAGAGATTAGGAAGAGATCCAACCAGTGATCTTACTTTTCATGTTTCACAAAAGCGCAATGATGTATACTTCAGTCAGTCAACGGCTAATTTAGAGTAAGTCTTTTTACTTTCTATTTTCAGATATAAATGATAACAAGAAATAATTTTTTTCTTTCTTGGTAATTTTTAAATGGGGGCCAGCAGGTGGCATGATGGTTAAGGTGTTGGACTCCCACATAGCTGCAGTTTGAGTTCCTGACCTAGTGATTTGCTTTCTTGCTTTCCCTCTCTCTCTCTCTCTCTCGTGAGCACACATGCCCTATGGCAAATTAAAATAATAATAATAAAATAAATCTGTAAAAAATAATTTTGAAATGTTAGGCTATTAGTCATGGTAATCACTTAATGTAGCTTCTAATGAGACAGTTAAGGAGACAACTGATTTCTGAGAAGAGAAATAATGATAGATTAGGTAAGGTTTTATCAGTGAATTTTTTTTAAAGAATTCTTTTATTTAACTTTATTATTATTTTCCAGTTTGATCAGAGAGATAGAGAGAGACAGAGAGGGAAAGTGAGAAAGCAAGCCACCAGATCTGGGACTTGATCCGTGGCTAGCCATGCAGGAGTCCAGCATCTTTAACTACCATGCCACCTGCCAGCCCCAGGGAAACTCTCGAATGACAGGGAAAGGAGGTTGGACTTGCTGTGACAGGTAGCTAAGTAGTGATTAAGATTTTTTAGGGACCAGTAGGTGGTATAGTAGTTGAGGCACTGGACGCCCACATGACTGACCACAGGTCAGTCCTGGACTGCACAGCTTTCTCTCTCTCTCTGGTAAGTGCATGTGCCATATAGCAAATTAAAATAATAATAATAAATAATTCTTTTAAAAATAGGAATGGAAGTAACTGGTGCATTGATAGGAAATTAGTCTAGAGGTATTATCTAATCTAGACCAGAGGCAGGGAAACTTGTTTTGGGATTGTTGCATTTTTATTGGGCATCAAAAATAAAGTTATGCATTACTTTTCATTTTCAGCAATGCTTTGAAGAGGGTAGCAGTCATTAAAAGTGTATTTTCTAGTCGATCTCTTCTAAACCTGGGTAATAGACAAGCTAGTATAACTGAATACTTGCCAACTCTTCGAAACATCTGTAGGACCGAGAAGCTAAAAGAACAAGGAAAAAGTAAAAGAAGGTAAAGTCTCTAAAATATAACATTGGTGATAGCTGTTTCAAGGTTAATCAGTAGTCTCATTAGATGAAAATATTAATATAAAATTGTCTTTTCCTTTTAATTTTGACAGATTCCTGCACTATTTTGAGGGAATTCATCTCGACATTCCAAAAGAGACTATGAATACTTTGGCAGCTGACTTCCCTTAATATTCCACCCTGGGCCAGCCAGTAGCATTATTGGTTAAGGTGGCTGAATTCCACATGGCTGAATGTGTGGTTTGAGTCCGCGATCCAGTGAATTGAGTAATGTATGGTCTGGGCTCATGCGCATGCATGCCCAAAATCTCTGAAGGAGAGAAAGATGGAGAAGAAGGGATTGCAGTTACCATTCCCCTTGGGAAGGTGCTTTCTCACTTTCCCTTTTTCTCTGTCTCTGTCTCCGGAGAACACATACTCCCTCTGGCAAATTTTTTAAAAAAAAATTCCACCTTAATAATGCTTTGTACAGATTATTATATGGTCTTTAAGATGCATTTTTGTATTATGTTGATTTTCATGGAAGGATTTATTTCTCATAATGTACATTTAAAACTCTGTATATTTCTTATTGGTGTGCATATATTTAAAATGAAAAAAATTGAATTACAAGTTGTATATATGATTGTGGTAGTATTTTTCTTGAATTTTTTTGTATTTGATTTAGCTTTGTTGGAATATTTTTTTGTATGTGAGTGAGCTATTTCTAGAAGGTAAAGTTCACTGAGCTAGTTCTACAGCTGTTTCTGTGTTAAACTAATCTACAGTTTTCCCCTTTCCTGTTACTCTTAGTCTCCTCCTCTCAACCAAGTATATGTTCTGTGAAATTTAAATATGAATCACCTAACTTTTAAAAATAAGTTTACAACATATAAAATATGAACTTACATTTGTAATACATATGAAAACTAAGAGGAAAATTATGTCATTTTTCAAAAGGTAGCATCTTCTTGATAAATTTCTTTCTGTTTTTTGTTTTAATACATAGTTTTGCCTTAGGGTGCGTGCACTCACTGAAGAGAGACAGAGAAAGAGACATAGAGAGTGAAAGGGAGAAATCACCCCCTGAGGGTATGGCCACACCACAATCCCTTCTTTTCCATTCTTCTCTCTGGATCTTGGGCACACACACATACCTGGTGTGATTTTTAAGCCACCGGGTCCAGGACTCGAACCATGGTTGACTGGGTGGGAGTCCAGCAATGTAACTGCTATGCCATCTGCTGGCCCCAATAAATTTATTTCTAATATACTTCTCCAGCACCTTTTATCATTGAATCATTGCATATTGATGACAAAGTAAAATCAAGATTGTGAATTACAGTGTTTATAAATCTTTTTAGCACCCATACATATGTGATATCTTGCATACCTTTGTGAACTAAAATAATTTGCCTTGTACATTTTTCTTGTATTTTTATATCACTGCTATTTAATTTCATAAAGATATTAATATATCTGTTTTGGACAAACTGCTATTCATTAAAAGGAGGATTCTATGATAAGATTTCTACATAATGGCCATTAACACCTAAGGTTATGTTTTTGGAAAGAAGTGTATATTTTTAATAATATGATTTTAAAATATCACATTTTACTTAAAATCACTTTGCAATCAGATAATCAGGAGTTTTTAAAAAATAGCTCCTTATCTTAAGGTTTATATTATATATTAGCTTAATATTCAGATACATTATCTGGTGAATTATATTAACTAAAAAATTAAGGATCCTAATTTTGTACAGTTGTGAAAATATAGATGCATACCTGTTTATAAATGTCTAAAAATATGTTTTTACTTATTTGTTCAACTTACCTTTCTTGTATTGGTTAGTATATTGTTATAATTAAATGATAAAGTTAAAGGCTTCATCCAGTATTTATGTAAGAGTTCAAGATATCATCATCTTGGTAAATAAGTATATTGTATAGGCTTGGATATAGGATATATTTTATAGGTTTTGTTCCTATAAAATAAGAAAATAAGATCTTCTGATGCAATTTTTTTTTGCCAAAGGGCAGATGCATTCACCTGAGAGAGTGAGAGAGAGAGTGAGAACTCACCCCTCTTGTGGGGGACAGTCACACTGCAATCCCTTCTCCTCTATTCTCCTCTCAGTTTTGGGTATGCCCGCACATATTCCTGGCATGTTTTCAGGTCGCCAGGTCCGTAACTTGAACTGTGCAGCCAGCCACGTGAGATCCAGTGCCTTAACCTCCATACCTCTGAAGCTTTTTTTAAAAAAGTACATTGACTATTTTTTTTATTTCCAGAGTTTCTCCAGTACACCACTTACTTATTTGTTAATTTAGCATTTTATCATTAGAAAATTCTGATAATTCTCTGGGCCCGCAGGTGGCATGGAGGTTAAGACAGCTTGATCCCACCTGGTGGGCTGCATGGTTCAAGTCCCAAACCCAGCGACCTGTGTGCCTGTCCAAAATCCTGAGAGGAGAATGGAGGAGAAGGAAGTTCTCAACAATTGATGAACCTAAGTAAAATAATTCCATAGAATTATATTTGGGTGATCAAAAACATCACTAGATAGTTTGGGTATTTTCTCCCTTAACAGGGAGATATTTGATATCTTACTTTTTCAGGTTTAGTATAAAATTAGGGAGAATTTTTCACCATTCTTAAAGATGATAAATTCCTGTAAAATTTAGATTAATTTTTGTGATAAAGGTAACCAAATTTTGATGACTTTTTCAATGCTTTGCATCTTTTCCTGTACTTTGCTTTTGTTTTTGTTTTTCTTTTTCTTTTTGGAGAGGTTTTTGCTGTAGGGCACGTACACTCATCAGAGAGAGAGAGACAGACAGACAGAAAGTAAAAAATCACCCCCCAGGGGGTATGGCCACCCGTAATCCCTTCTTCTCCATTCTCCTCTCGGGATCCTGGGTATGCACACACACGCGCCCAGTGTGAGTTTAAGCCACCGGATCCAGGACTCAAACCACGGCCGACTACATAGGAGTCCAGCGACATAGCCATTATGCTAACTGCTCGTCCCTTCCTGTAAATGTTTAAAACGGACACATTCTCACTTACTGCTATGTCCAGAAATATACAGGAGGCAGAACACCATGTTTCTGGCAGGAACGCCTAGGTGGCTGGTAAAGCTGTTTACCAAAGTGGAAAATGGTGGTAAAGAAGGTAGTCTGAAAGGAAAGAATGATTTCCTTTTTAGACATGCTTAGTTTGAGATATCTACATTTCTTTTCTCTCTTTTTTTTTTTTTTGAGAATTATTTATTTATTTTTATCTTTTTTTAATTTGACCAGAGTAAGAGTGGAGGGAGTGAGAAAGCAAACCACCAGGTCTGGGACTCATACTGTGGTTGGCATGTGGGAGTCCAGTCCACCATGCCACCTGCTAGCCCTGAGACACCTACATTTCTTTCTTTTTTAAAACAATTATTTATTTATTTAATTCCATTTATTATTATTTTTTTTTTTAAATTTGACCAGAATGAAATGGAGAGAAAGCGAGAAGGTAAGCCGCCAGGTCCAGGACTCGACCCATGGTCAGCCACAGGAATCCAGCACCTTTAACTACCATGCCACCTGCTGGCCCCTCAAGAGATAACTACATTTCTACAGTGAAGGTGTTTAGGAGTCCAACCACATATGTAAAGACTTACATGTACATGGCAACAAATTTAGAGAGGACATTAACGCTAGGGAGGGAGTTGGAGGTTCTAGATAAGAGGACTTCCACTTCTTGCTTTAAATATGTCTAATTATTTGAACTTTTTTTTTTTCTAACAAGTATATTTCAATTTTAGATTAAAAGACTTAATACTTTTGACATCAAAGAGACCTGGGCTGGGTCCAGACTGTGTCATGGTGGTTAGGGCAGCTGTATCCAACATGGCCAACTGTGCAGTTAGAGTTCCGGACCTGGGAGCTTGAGAAAGACACTGGGTGGGTGGGTAGGTGTGTGTGTATACACACTCAGAATCCCAAGGGGAAGGAAAATGCAGAAGGGGTTGGGGTGTAACTGCTCCTCATCAGGAGTGCTTTCTCACTTTCTCTCTTCCCCTCTCCCTCTTTCCTTTCTCTTCATGAGCACATGGCACCCTCCAACAAAACTTAGACTTGTGTTTAATAAGGAGATAGGATAAGGTTCTGAACTAAGGTAGACATGATGGAAAATGGAGAAGTGAGGAAATAGCAATTGCTCCTTTTATCAGAAGATACTGTCTGAGCCAGCAGGTGGTGTGGTGATTGGGGTACTGGATTCCAACGCTGCTGACTGCAGTTTGAGTCCAGGACCAGGTGGCTTGCTTTCTCACTTTCTCTCTCTCTCTCTGGTAAGTGCATGTGCCCTGCAGCACAAAAAATAATAATACAGGAGGGAACTAGCAGATGGCATGGTGGTTAAGCGTGCTGGAATCCCACATGGCCGACTGTGGTTCAAGTTCCAGATCTGGGGGCTTAGTTTCTCACCTTCCCTCCTTCTCTCTCTCTCTCCTTTTCTGGACAAATTATAAATAAATAAAGTTAAATAAAATAATTTAAAAATAATAGTAATAATAATAAAGGGGCCAGCAGGTGGCATAGGGCTTAAGGTGCTGGACTCCCCAGTGACCGACCATGGTTTGAATTTCAGATCTGGTGGCTTGAAACATGCTGAGCACATGTGCGTGCGTGTCCAAAATCTTCAGAGAATGAAGGAGACGGGATTGTAGTGTGGCCATCCCCCCAGGGGGTGATTTCTCACTTTCTGTCTCTGTTTCTCCAGTAAGCACATGCACCCTATTGCAAAAATCTCTCAAAATAAGAATAATAATAATAAAATTAAATATTGTTTTTTTCTTTTTAGAGATTTTTGCTATAGACATGTGCAATTGCTAGTCCTCTCGGGATCTTAGGCACGCACGCACATGCGCCCGGCATGAGTTTTAAGCTACCGGGTCCGGTACGCGAACCGTGGTCGACTACATGGGAGTCCAGCGACATAGCCATTACGCTAACTGCTGGTTCTCTGCCTCTTATGTTGAAGAGAAAGGAGATGTGACTTCCAACCATGCAGCTAGCCAAGGGCAAAGAGAAAGCGCAGGGCCAGTTCCTCTGGTTCTTAGGCAGAGTGTTCCCACATGATCCCTTGTCCTGGATCCTGTCTGTTTGCTAGACAGGAATATCAATCTCATTCCATTTAAAGCCTCTCAGAGGGTTTAATGAATTATTTTATCGACATTAGGCTAACTGCTGGACCCAGCCTTTTTTTTTTTTTTTTTTTTAAGAGAGGGTTTTGCTATAGCATGCATGTGCTCCATTCTCTGGAGAGACAGAAAGCAAGAAATCACCCCCTAGGGGAGATGGCCACGCCGCAGTCCCTTCTCTAGTCTCCTCTCAAGATCTTGGGCACGCACACACATGCGCCTAGCATGAATTTTAAGCTGCCAGGTCTGGGACTCGAACTGCAGTCAACTACATGGGAGTCCAGCAATGTAACCATTATGCCATCTGCTGGTCCCAAAATTAAATAATTCTTTAAAATAAAGATAGTCTGTCACGTGAAATATTTCAAAGTAAAAAGATGGTCTTGTAAGACAATATGCATGTGTTCTGGAAGTAACAGATCTGAACTAATGAAAATTGACTTTAGAGTCAGTATATCAAGCCACATTCTACCTAGAGAATAAGAAAAGAGGATTCTACGAGTTGTGTTATCAGTTGTCTTTAGCTTTATTTTCATATTGAGCACCACCCAGAAAATTCATTTTTTCCCTATTTTAACAATGTAATAATACAAATCCTTACTATGGGGAGTATTTGCTTTGTGTCTTGTTTTGACTATTTAGGGATCATCTTACTGTTTAACATTTAAACCTGAAAAGCAAAGAGTCTCATTAAATATTTATTGATTTGGTCTTGGCTTATTATTGGGTACACCATTCAACAACTGAAAACTGATTTTAAATATCTAAAATACACTCAAAATGTGTTTTCTTCTCCAGTAACATGGATATTCAAAACATCATTTTATAACTATAGTGCTAATAAATGTATACTAATAGAGTAGGTGCATTAACCCCCGAATTCTAAGACTCAGTGTCAAAACCTGCTAATTCATAGAAGGCAACAGCTTGTAATAAGGAGTCATACAGCTCTTCTGCTCGGTGTGGGTCTGTGGATGAGAACATCTGTCTGTAGTGGACTATTTTATCTGCCGGGAAGAACACGCGCGGCTTCGCCTTCAGTACAGACTCGGAGAGGAACCGCTTCACTAGGTCCTTCCCACTGGTCCTGCTGTCACCGACCATCAGCTCAAAGTGCTTCCCCACTGCATTGCGATTCATGCTCAGCACCTGATGCTGGCCATCCTGGGCAAAACTTTTATTTAATAAAGCATACAGCATAGCTTCCATGATGTGAAAATGTAACAGTATAGGAAACACAGAGGAGTTCTGAATAGAAAGTCCTGTTTTTTCCAGAACGTAGAAATCTGCATTAGGCATCTTTGAAATGACTGAAGAAATCTTAAAAAAAAAAAAAATTAAGTGAGCAGAAAAAATGATTAGGTTTTATCTGTGGGTCCCCTCTCTATCACTTCTATTTTAAAATATGATTAGGTATCTTATATTACTATTGACAATTGAGGAAACTTTTTTTTTTTTCAATGAAAGAGCACAGGGAGAGTCTTGTGAGCCTCCTGCCCCAGCCTCCCACTTCCCCGGGTCTGCAGGCATATACCACTGCACCACCCCGCTTAGGTTGGGCCAGGAATAGGAACCTGGGCTTCCCATCAGTGCAACTGGCTAATTATAACAGATGTTTGACTGGGCCATAGTTTTCATATATACAATCAAATGATAATTCCTACCCATTTCACAGGGTTTTGAAGACAACTGAGACAGTATGAGAGCATCTTGAAAAATAAACAATGCAAATAAAAGATAATGGTGGTGGAGCCAACTGGGGGCATGGCTGTAAGGTAGCTAGATCCCACATGAATGACAGTGCAGTCTGAGTCCTGACCTAGAGGCATAGAAAACACCAGGCCTGTGTGTGCATGCCAAAAATCCTGAAAGGACAGAGGAATGAAGAAGGGCTTGTGGTGTGATCAAGCTCCACAGGTGTGCTTTCTTACTTTCTCTGCTCTGGTGAGCATATGCACCATCTAGCAAATTAAGTGGTGATGTTCTATAACATTTATTGGGTTGTTGAAAAAGTCATGACAAATTTTCTGTTTTTTTTTTAAATTAATTTTATTTGTCCTTACTTTTTAAAAAAATATTTAATTTTATTTATTCATTCATTTAATTTTTAATAATTATTTTATTTATTCATTCATTTATTTTTTAATTTGACCAGAGAGAGACAGAGGTTGAGAGTGAGAGAAAGAGGAAGTGAGTAAGCAAGCCACCAGATTCAGAACTCGAACCCTGGTTGGCAATGTGGGAGTGTCCAGCGCCTTAACCACCACGCCGCCTGCTGGTCCCTATTCATTCATTTATTTTAATTTGACCAGAGAAAGAAAGAGGGAAAGTGAGAAAGCAAGCCACTGGGTCCGGGACTTGAACCATGGTCGGCCATGTGGGAGTGTCAAGCACCTTAACCACCACACCACCTGCTGGGCCCTATCATTTTTTAATCTGCTACAGGGTAGGCATGTTCACCAGAGAGAGAATGAGAGAGAGGGAAAGTGAGAAAGCAAGGTACCAAGTGTGGAACTCAAACCAAAGTCAGCCAAATAGGAGTCCAGTGCCTTTACCACCATGCTAACTGCTGGCCCCTTTCTATGTAAAAATGTGTCATGACTTTTCTGACAACGCAATAGAATACTATATAAATATTTTTCTCAGCATCTACTTTTGAGACAAGAAATTTCTTGAAATAACTGGAGAAAAGTCCAATTTTAAGTCAAAATGACAGAAAACAACTGGAATAAGTAAGTTATAAGTGCCAAAGGAATACATCCTAACTATTTAATGGCATTCCTTTTGGGACTAGAAGATTAAACTAGACAAGGAGCGTTAGCAGCTAGGAATGAGGAGGTGCAGTTGCCTTACCTCTTCTAAGTAGTCTGCTGATGGGTACGTTCTGTTCATTAATCTCCAACAGTCACTTTGCTGCCAGTCCAGCACCACCATGTTACGATCAAGGTGAGTCCAGGCAATTCTTCGAGTGCCAAAAACAATGGACACAATGCTGTTCGCTGACTAAAAGAAAAAGGTAGCTTTAAGTGCTGTGTAAACCTTTTAATAGATATAAAACCAAATCTAAACTCAGAATGCCTAGCTAGTTTATGTAATACAAGTTTATTTACAGTTTATGAACTGAGAATTGTTTGTTTCAGTTTTTTTTTTTTAATCTTTTTTATTTTTATTTTTTTAGAGATTTTTGCTATAGGGCACGTGTGCTTGCTGGAGAAAGACAGACAGCAGAAAGCGAGAAATCACCCCCAAAGGGGGATGGCCACACTACAATCCATTCTCCTCTATTCTTCTCTTGGGATTTTGGGCACAGAGGCACACGTGCCCAGCATGAGTTTCAAGCTGCCAGGTCCAGGATTCAAACTGGGGTCAACTACGTGGGAGTCCAGCAGCGTAACCATTATACCATCTGCTGGTCCCAAACTGAGAATTGTTAAAGCAAAGTAATTATTATTAAAAGGATGTCTTGGGCCAGCTTGTAGTATAGTGGTTGAGGAAGCTGGATCCAACATGACTGACTGCCCAGTTTGAGTCCCAGACCTGTGGCTTGAAAAACATGCTGACCAGCAGATGGTGTAATGGCTATGTCGTTGGATTCCCATGTTGTCGACTGCAGTTCAAGTACCAGACCCAGTGGCTTAAACTCATGCCGGGCGTGTGTGCATGCCTGTCCAAGATCCCAAGAGGAGAGTGGAGGAGAAGGGATAGTGGTGTGGCCGTCCCCTCTGGGGGGTTGTTTCTTGCTTCAAGTCTCTGTCTCTGTCTTTCTGGCGAGCACATGTGCCCTATAGCAAAAACCTCTCCAAGAAAAAAGAAAAACACGCTGGGTTTGAGTGTGTGCCCAAAATCCCAAAAACGGGGAGAAGATGGAGGGAAAGGGACTGTGGTGTGATTATCCTCCATGGAGGTTGCTTTCTCACTTTTTCTCTCTCTCATTCTGTCTTAGGTGAGCCTATGTACCCTCTGGCAAATTTAAAAAAAAAAAAGGGATGCCTTTATATTCTCTAGCCCAAAATAGTTATTTATTTTTTAATGATTTATTTTATTTAATTTTATTCATTCATTTATTTTGACTAGAGAGAGACAGGCACACACACACACACACACACACACACACACACACACACACACACAGAGGGGGGAGGGAGAGAGAAAGCAAGCCACCAGGTCCAGGACTTGAACCGTGGTCAGACATGTGGGAGTGTCCAGCACCTTTTCCACCATGCCACCTGCTGGTCCCCCCAAAATAGTTATTTAAATACTCAAGTATTGCCAGGATCTGGGGTAGATACTGGTAAACAAGGAACATAGCTGTACATTATAAGAACCACATTACACCGGTTCTGTAGAGAGAAGTGGTTAGGGAGATTACTGAGGGACTAGGAGAATGAGTAAAATGGTAAACAGGAAGTTATTTCACTCAGATTTCTGCAAAAATAGGCTGTTTGAATTTCACACTAAGGCAGTGGAATAAGGGCATCAACCTGGGCAGATTTCTGAAAAGTTAAGTAACTTGGCTTTATCCTGAGAGCTACCAAGGCCACCAAATCATGACTGTAAGGAACAACATATGAAGGGACCAGCAGTTAGTGTAATGGCTATGGCTCTGGACTCCCACGTAGTCAACTGGGGTTCACATCCCGGACCCAGTGGCTTAAACTCTCTGGGCGTGTATGCATGCATGCCCAAGATCCCGAGAGGAAAATGGAGAAGGGATTGTGGTGTGGCCATCCCCCCAGGGGGTGATTTCTCACTCTCTCTCTGTCTCTGTCTTTTTGGCGCCCTATAGAAAAAACCTCTCCAATAAATAAATAAATAAAAAGAAGCCTTTTCTGTCTGGCGGCAGCCATCAGGTAAGCCAAGATGGACGTGTACAAATACATCCAGGAGCTGTGGCAGAAGAAGCAGTCTGATGTGATGTGCTTTCTCCTGCGGGTCTGCTGCTGGCAGTACCGCCAGCTCTAGGTGCTGCACCGGGCACGCCACTCCACCCGGAGGGACAAAGTGAGCAGACTGGGCTACAAGGCGAAGCAAGCTTATGTCATATACAGGATTCGTGTGTAGCGTGGAGGCCACAAATGCCCAGTTCCCAAGGGTGCAACCTATGGCTAGCCTGTCCATCACGGTGTTAACCAGCTCAAGTTTGCTCGGAGTGGCCAGTCTGTTGCAGAGGAGCGAGCTGGATGCCACTGTGGGGCTCTTAGAGTCCTGAATTCTTACTGGGTGGGTGAAGATTCCACATACAAATTCTTTGAGGTTAACCTCATTGATCCATTCTGTAAAGCTATCAGAAGAAACCCTGACACCCAGTGGATTACAAAACCCAATCCACAAGCACAGGGAGATGTGTGGGCTAACATCCGTAGGCCGCAAGAGCTGAGGCCTTGGAAAGGGCCACAAGTTCCACCACACTATTGGTGGCTCTCCCGTGCCCCTTGGAGAAGGTGCAATACTCTCCAGCTCCACCGTTACCGCTAATCTAAGAAATGTTTGTAAAATTCATACCTAATAAGCAATTTAGGACAAAAAATAAATAAATAAAAGAAAAAGAAAAAATGTATCCATGTTCACCATAAAGCTGAGAACCACTGGTCCAGAAAATAATAGTGCTATTAATGTTAAAGACAGTATTTAATTAAATGATTTTATATAGGTCCTAAATTTCTCCAAGGTTTAACATTGGGCTGATGTATAAAGTATTCCTGATATTTAATTATCTCTTTTAAAAAAATTTTCCAGAGTGTGTGCACTTGCCAGACAGAGTGAGGATAAAGTACCCCTTTAGTGGAGCATGGCCACGTCAACCCATCGAGGGGTGCTTTCCATGCCATAACCCCTTCTCCATTTGTCCATCCCATTGGAATTTTAGGCACACAGGCACATGCACCTGGCAGGTTTTTCAAGACACCAAGTCTGAAACTTGAACTGTACGGTTGGCCATGCTTTCTTCACCATTAGACTAAGGGTCAGCCCTCTAATATTTAATTTTTAAGGTAACACTGAAAAAGACTTAGAATACTTTAAAGCAGTGCTGGCAGGTGACACAGTGTTAAGGCGCTGGACTCCCACATGGCCGACCATGGTGCGAGTCCCAAATCTGGCAGCTTGCTTTGTCACTTTCCCTCTCTCTGTGTTTCTCTCTGGTCAAATTAAAAATGGTAATAACAGGGACCAGCAGATGGCATGGTGGTTAAGGCACTGGACACTCTCACATGGCTGACCATGGTTTGAGTCCCAAACCTGACAGCTTGCTTTCTCACTTTCTCTCTCTCCCTCTCTCCCGTCCCCTCTCCGTGTGTCTCTCTCTGGTCAAATTAAAATAATGAATAAATAAAATTAAATAATTATTTTTAAAATGTTAAATGGTAATAATAAATAAAATTAAAAATAAATAACATTAAATAAATAATGCTTTTTAGGAGCTGGCAGGTGGCATGATGGTTAAGGGCACTGGATTCCCACATGGCTGACTGCAATTCTAGTCCTGGACTTGGTGGCTTACTTTCTCACTTTTATCCTCTCTCTCTCTTGCTCTGTCCTTCTCAGGCCAAATTACAAATAAATAAATGAATAAAGTTAAATAAAATAATTATTTTTAAAAAATGCTTAAAAAAAAGAATACTTTAACGGATGGGAGCAGAAAACAGAAAATAATTTAAAATCCTACTGGAAAGACTGTTAGGATGTCCAAAAATCACTCTATGGCCATAACCCAATTATGCATCTTAATTTCTCATTACTCCCAACAGATACCCTCCTACATACACAGCTATCTCTACAACATTATTATTATTTTTTAAGAGATATTTTTCCTCTAGGGCACACACACTTACCAGAGAGACAGAGATAAAAAGTGAGAAATCATCCCCTTGGGCGAGGGGATGGCCATACCACAATCCCTTCTCCTTCATTCTCCTCTTGGGATTTTGGGCACGCATGCACATGCACCTGGTTTTGAGTTTCACACTGCTGGGTCCAGGACTTGAACCACGATTGACTACATGGGAGTCCAGTGACATAACCATTACACCATCTGCTGGTCCCTCTACAAAATTATTTTTATTCTTTTTTTTTTTTAATTCATTTTTTTTAAAGAATTGTTTTATCAGGGCTGGTAGGTGGCATGATGGTTAAGGGTGCTGTACACTCCCACATAGCCAACCATGGTTTGAGTCCCAGATCTGTCTGTCCCTCTCTGGTCAAATTAAAATAAATAAATAAAGTTAAATAAAACCAGTCTCCTTTAGCTAGCCTAATTCACTCTCTCCTTCAAGATCCAAATTGAGTTCTTCCAGTAAATCTTCCCTAACAGTCAGAGCCCACAGTCTTCTCTCCTCTCAGTTCCCAGTTACGACCTATACACCTTCATATTTGATAGTGATCATATACTACTTATATGCGCTGAAGACAGCACATCACACTACTTTGTGCTATACGTTATTTATTGGTATGTACATATCTAGCTCTACCAACTAAACCCGAAGAGCCATGTCTTAAGAAATTCCCCAATGGGGCCGGCACATGGCCTGATGGCTAGGGGTGCTGGACTCCCACATGGCTTACTGTGGTTCCAGTCCCGGACCTGGTGGCTTTCTCTCTCTTTCCCCCTCTCCTTCTCTGGTCAAATGAAATAAATAAATAAGGTTAAATAAAATAATTATTGAAAAAAAAAAGAAATTCCCTAATGTCCAAAATAGTGTTTTACAAACTGGATTCTCAAATAACAGACATTAAGAAAAAGAGTATACCTTAAGTCTCTCTCTTTGTATGTCTGGTTTGATAAACTTTCCCAAGATGCGGGTTTCCTGTAATTTTCTTTTTTTCTTTCCAGTCTCTGGACAAAGAATAGAGTTACAAACTTGAACTATAGTTTTATACTGGAACAAAGGTACATTCTTTAGACTCTCCAGATTCTGAAATGGCCCAAACTTTTCTCTGTGCTCTATAATATTGATGGATTTTCTTCCACGAAGCAATTTGAAAGCTTCAAGATCTTTAGTAGATGCTGTATTCAAGACATGCAAGATGGAAGCCTGCTGTTCTGAAGAGAAGAGCTGGTCAAGTGCACTTCCAGACTCCTTTGCATTTTCTTCACAAAAGGCAACACCAGGACTCATTTTCTTAGGTGTACTGGATTTTTTTTGACAGCAGGAAAAAAAAATAGGGCCTGGACCAGAAATGATCCCAATGGAACTGGAAAGCCTCTCCACTTCCCTAAAAGGAAAATTTGGCAAAATGTAAGTTGGGATATCTGACTTTTTTGTTGGTTGCAGGCTTGGCCAGATCCTTTGCAAAGTGATACCGACTTTCTCATAATTTAAGAACTAGTGGACTATATAAAATTCCCCTGGAAAATCATCTTTAAAATAGGATTGGTTTGGGGGGCCAGCAGGTGGTATGGTGGTTAAGGTGTTGTACTCCCACATGGTCGACTGTGACTTGAGTCCTAGACCTAGTGGCTTGAAAATCCCGCCTGGTGTGTGTGCATGCATGTCCAAGATCCTAAGAGGAAAATGGAAAAGGGATACCAGCATGGCTGTCCCCCCTGGGAAGGTGATTTCTCACTATCTCTCTCTGGCAAGCACATGTACCCTAGGGCAAAAACCTAAAAATAAAATAGGATTGATTTTAAACCATATGTAGGTGTATTTTTTTTTAAAAAAAAATAGGGCTTTGGTTGTTTTTAAGTCACGAGAGATTTTTTTATTAATTAATTTATTTTTTTCAGAGGTTTTTGCTATAGGGCGGCGCGTGCGCTCACCAGACAGACAGAGACAGAGAGACAGAAAGCAGGAAATCACCCCCCAGGGGGGATGGCCACGCTGCAATTCCTTCTCCTCCATTCTCCTCTCGGGATCTTGGGCACACACGCACATGCGCCCGGCGTGAGTTTAAGCCACCGGGTCCGGGACTTGAACTGCGGTCGACTACGTGGGAGTCCAGCGACATAGCCATTATGCTAACTGTTGGTCCCCACAAGAGATGTTTTATCCTAGGTGTTACTAAGAAATGTACTGTATGCCCAAGAAGCATATGGTTAAAGTAATAATTTCAACTGCTTAGTGTTCTTATTTTTAACTTTAGAGGGATTGTGTGTGTGTGTGTGTGTGTGTGGTTTAATTGCCAAAGGGCTTATGTACTTTTCAAAAACTAGAGCGAGGGAGAAAGCACCCTCATTGGGGCACAGTCATGCATCAATCCCTTCTCCATTTCTTCATCCTATCAAACTTGGGACAAGCAAATACAGCCCCCTGGTGTGTTCCTTAATCTTTCAGCTCTGAGGGATGCGTCTCTCTCAACCACTAGGCTATGGGGTCAGCCCTACAGGGATCTTTTTGTAAATAATATCGCTTAAGAAAATTTATTTTCACTTCCATTTTTACTAGTTTCTCATTTGGCGAAGGCAAACAAATCTAATCTTCACATGTTTATTTTTTAAAAAATAATTCTTTTTATAATTATTTATTTAATTTATTTATTCATTTATTTTAATTTGACCAGAGAGAAGCAGAGAGAGAGGGAAAGTGAGAAAGCAAGCCACCAGGTCCAGGACTTGAACAGTGGTTGGTTGGCCATGTGGGCGTGTCCAGCACCTTAACCACAACGCCACCTGCTGGTCCCCATCTTTACATGTTTATAAGATGCTTTAGTGAAGTGGTAGATTTACGGCGGTTTAATTTTCTTCTGTACAGTTTTCAAGATTACTACCATGACTTTTATTATTATTATTTTATTTATCTTTATTTCTTTTAACTTGACCAGAGAGAGCGAGCGAGAGAAAGATTGGTAGAGAAAATGAGAAAGCAAGTCACCTGGTCTGGGAATTGAACTGTGATCGACCATGTGGGAATACAGCGCCCATAACCACCACGCCACCTGCCGGCCTGTACCATGATTTTTTTTTTTTTTTTTTTGGAGAGGTTTTTGCTATAGGGCGCATGCGCTCGCCAGAAAGACAGAGAGAAACAGAGAGACAGAAAGCGAGAAATCACTCCCCAGGGGGATGGCCACGCTGCAATCCCTTCTCCTCTGTTCTCCTCTCGGGATCTTGGGCACACACGCACATGTGCCCGCTGTGAGTTTAAGCCGCCGGGTCCGAGACTCGAACCGCCGTCGACTACATGGGAGTCCAGCGACATAGCCATTACGCCAACTGCTGGTCCTCCATGACTGTTTTTGAAAGCTGAAAAAAACACCATAAAATGAATTAACTTTGTAACCAATAGAAAGTCACTCTGGCAGCACAGACAGAAAAATAACGCTGCCAGAGCTAAGCGAGCAGGTGTCAGAATCTGAACCCTCTGCCCGCGGACTCTGGACAGAGGGGCACAAACGCTCTGGGGAGATCCCGAATGGAAGTCGTGGACATGAGACATAAGGGAAGAAATATTCCAGGCTCAGAGGCTACTGGAGGACAGGAAATCGCCTCACTACTCCAGGCACCCTACCTCTAGCCATGAGGACACCGTGGAGGCTCATCTTCCAAGTCCCCTCCGTAGGCGCTCACAGCCCCAGCACGACTTCCGGTTCCTAAGTGTTTCGCCGCTCAAAGTCCGGCCTGACTCGGCGGAGAGGTTCCGCCCGGGGTGGCGTTCCGGGGCCTCGCCCGAGAGTTTGCCCGGCCCGAGCCCCGGTTGGCGCACACACTCGTTCCGCTGCGTCGGGAAGGTGTGCGGGCTCGGACCGGCCCCAGGTGTGCGGGCTGGGACCGGCCCCGATGGCGCCTGGCCGACACCGGGAAGGGGACGACCGGCCGGTTAGGTCTAGTTCTCAAAGGCCCACCTTCTGAGAGACGCCAGGGGATATTCTAGACGCACAGATAGAGGCGCTCCCGTGGTCGCCCAGCCTGGGGGGCGAGAAGTAGCCACAGTTAGCCGGTCATTGCGTGGAACGGATGGCAGGGGAGAGGGGGCGTGGCAGGTGAGAGGGGCCGCAGGTGCCTAGCAGGAAACGCGTCGGGAAGCGCGAGCTAGGGGCTGACGCGAGGCTGGGCTGGAGGAGGGCCCGGTGCACGGAGAGCCGTCGGCCAGCTAGTGGATCTTCCGAGGGAGAAGCCGCCCAAAAGAAAGGAACCTGCGTGGTGTAAGGAAAGTGGAAAGGGTTCTTTCAGGACGAAAGGGAGAATTTAGCCAGTTTTAGGAAGAACAAGGAAGCCGGAAGGGAGGAGAAGGTGATTGGTTTGTAATGTTTGGATGAGCTGTCAGTGGATTTTCAGTGTGGATATTATCGAGAAGGCAGTAGGAAAATGGGGGGAGAGAGTCCATACATAATGATAATTACTCATAGGAACTACAGGAATTGTGACAGTTTCTGGAAACGTAGGAAGCCAACAAGAAATAAAGTCAGCTTGGGACCAGCAGTTGTTGTAATGGCTATGTCGCTGGACTCCCATGTAGTCCACTGCGGTTCGAGTCTGGGCCTGGTGACTTAAACTCACGCCGGGCGTGTGTGCGTGCGTGCCCAAGATCGCGAGAGGAGGAGAATGGAGGAGAAGAGATTGCCGCCTGGCCATCCCCCTGGGGGGTGATTTCTCACTTTCTATCTCTCTCTGTCTTTCTGGTGAGCACACACGCCCTATAGCAAAAACCTCTCCAAAAAAAAAAGAAAGAAAGTCAGCTTTTTTGTGCAAAATCCTCCAAGTTTGGAGGAAATAATTTCCTTTTAATTCCCAAGCTTATTCAACTTAACGAAGTGTTATAGTTGAACTGCATCTCTCAAAACAGGTATGTTGAAGTCTTTACCCCCAGTACCTCAGAATATGAGCTTACTTGGAAATAAGGTCACCGTAGATGTAATTAGTTAAAATAAGATTACATTGTACAGGGGTGGGGGCCGAGCGAATATAACTGTTGTCCATGGAGAGAGAAGATGGAGGCAAGGGCCCAGTTGCTGTAGCAGGTGCTGATAGACACTGCTCTTAAGCAGGTTCAGGCCCCTGGGAGCCCTGGGCTGGATTTTTCCCACCTACACTAAAAGCTGGGCCCTTTTTGCTGCTTGTGTCCCAGCTTTTCAGGAAGCTGAGTCAGGAGAATCATGATATAGTGAGACCTTGTGTGTGTGTGTGTGTGTGTGTGTGTGTGTGTATGTGTGGAGAGGGAGTTACAAAGATTGGCAAGAGACTTCTGGCCATTTGCCAGGGAAGTGAAGGTAAGGAATATTGACTCTCTTTGATTTGAGGTAAGACATTGGAAACATCAGATTAATGAGATCAATGAATAGTTAATGACCGGATAACTTACTAAATTAAGTTTAACACATCCAATTGAACACATACTGTTCCAGATCTGTTCATTGACATGTTTGGAGCCTGTATTTCATTAAGCTGTGAAACGAGACCTCATCGAGGTCTTCGTAATAGAAAAGCTGCCAAGTCGTACACTTCTTTCATGATCGGTGACCGTGGTGCAGCCTCCTGGGACAGCAGTGCGCCTTTAGTCAGGAGCAGCAGGGCAGGTGTCAGGAGATTGGGTCACCTCAGAGCGAAGAGGATCTTCAGGCCCTCTGGAAGGAACAAACCCTGTCTATTTAATACATACATACACATATATATGTATCTGTATAATATATATTAATATATAATATCATATAGATATATTCCTTACAGTTCAGGAGGCTAGAGACTGAAGCCAAAGTGTGGGAGGGTTGGATCCTCTGGAGGGTCCTGAAGGGAATCTGTTTGACCCCTGTCTCTTAGCTTCTCTGTCTACTGCCAATCCTCATGTGTAGTGGTTGTCCCTTTCCTTAGCACTTCCAGCCTCGGGCCAGAGTAAAATTCTGAATGAACACCCATACACACACACACACACGCATATATATATTTATATATAGAGAGAGACAAAGATTGCAGGTATGAATCTTAAAAACCAAGGAAGCCGGGGACCAGCAGTTGGCGTAATGGCTACATCGCTCCCATGTAGTCAATCATGGTTCAGGTCCCGGACACAGTGGCTTAAACTCACGCCAGGCGTGTGTGCGTGCATGCCCAAGATCCCGAGAGGAGAATGGAGGAGAAGGGATTGTGGCATGGCCATCCCCTTCTGTCTCTCTGTCTCTGTCTGTCTGGCAAGCACACGTGCCCTATAGCAAAAACCTCTCAAAAAAAAAAAAAAAAAAAAAACCTGCTAAGAGAGAGTTATCAAACAGATTCC